CAGGCTTCATGATTGGTCCGTTTAACATTCCTCCTTTTGAATGTTTCCGCGTCAGCCCCATTGGAGTGGCCACAAGAAAATTTTCAGGCAAAAAACGTTTAATAATCGATCTCTCAGCCCCGCATAATTCTCCGTTTCCAAGCATAAACAGCCTTATCTCGCTTGAACAATTTTCTCTTCATTACCACACCATTGACCAAGCCATAACCTTGATTAAAGACGCAGGCTACGGCGCTTGGCTCGCTAAAGTCGACATCACTTCTGCTTTTAAAGTGATGCCCATTCATCCAGATTCATGGCATTTGTTCGGCGTACGCTGGCAAGAAAAATTTTACTTTGCCGTCCGTTTAACTTTCGGCTGCAAAAGCAGCCCCAAGATTTTCGACATGCTATCAGAAGCCATTTGCTGGATTCTTTCCAATAACTACTCGATACCCTACTTAATCCACCTGCTAGATGATTTCCTAATTATCTCACCACCCGACGCCATCCCAGCCGCGCATCTTCTCACAGTCCAAAAAGTCTTCGCTGAGCTCGGGATTCCAATCGCCCAAGAAAAAACCATGGGCCCAGCCACATCCATCGAATTTCTGGGCATTAATTTGGACACAGTCAATTTCCAGGCCTCACTGCCCAAGGAAAAAATCGACAGGATTATTCTGGTCGCATCCACCCTCCTAGAAAATCCAAATTGCTCTAAACGAGAGCTACTATCTCTGCTCGGCCACTTAAACTTTGCGATGCGCATCATCCCGCAAGGCCGCCCTTTCATCTCACATCTTCTCTTCCTCGCATCATCAATCCACGCGCTAGAGGACCAAATTTCCCTAACTACGTCATGTTGCAACGAGCTCAGTTTATGGATAACCTTCCTTAAACAATGGAACGGCCTGTCTTTTTTCTATAACAATCTGATTTCTCTCCCCGTGGATATCCAACTGTTCACTGATGCTGCTCCCTCTGTCGGTTTCGGGGGATTCTACCAAGGCCGTTGGTTTGCTTCTACATGGCCCGCCCAGCTGTTAGACTCACCGCAATCACAATCATCCTCAGCGCTGTTCGAATTGTATCCTTTAGTAGTAGCAGCCTTCCTGTGGGGTAAAGAATGGTCAACTAACAGCATCATGGTACACTGCGATAATGAAGCAACCGTGCACTGCATCAACAAAGGCCGCTCAAATTCCCCCGCACTAATGCCTCTCCTAAGACGCCTCATTTGGATCGCAGCTTGCGATCAATTCATCTTAACTGCAAAACATGTTCCCGGGTCCAGAAATCAAATAGCTGAATCTCTCTCTCGTTTTGCTTTCCAGAAATTCAGGCTGCTGGCACCAGATGCGGACCCTTTTCCAACCCCAGTACCTCACTATTCAGAGCTGATATTCCCATAAACCACCCACTGAAACCACTTCTCGATGCCTCTCTTAATTCCATCCTTCAAGCCGTTTCACCCAGCACCCTCCAATCCTACTTAACCGCATGGAAGTGTTTTAAGTCTTTTCACTCAACATACAACCTGCCTTTTCCCAACTTTTCTCTGCTTACCATCACTTCATTCATATCCTATCTCAACAGCATCAAGAACCTCAAAGCCTGCTCTATCAAGGGTTATCTAAGCGGAATCCAATTCTTCCACAAACTCCTTTTTGGTTCACCTTCCCCAGACATAACAAATTCTCAGACATCAATGCTCATCAAAGGCATCCAAAAAACCCAACCCACCCGCCCTGATGCCAGACAACCAATAACTTTAGACATACTCGCTAAATGCATCTTCACCCTCCGCCGAGGCTATCACTCCACCAACACAGCCCGTACACTGGACGCAATGTTCATATTGGCTTTTTTCGGTTTTCTCAGATGCTCAGAACTCACCATCACTTCCAGTTTCAACCCAAAAGTCCACCCCACAATCTCAGATCTATCAGTTCTAGACAACGAAACCATCTCTTACTTCATAAAGCAAAGCAAGACAGATCAAATGAAAAAAGGCCACTTCATATACATCTTCAATCTCCCATCACCAATCCAACCGTATCAATCTCTCTTAGCATACTTGCATTTCAGGAACTCGCAGGCCAAGTCCCCTTCCGACCCACTCTTCACTGATGATTCCAATCGCCCTGTCACACGTTTCTGGTTCCAAAAACACCTCAAGTCCATTTTGCTCCAATCAGGCATCCCAGCAGACCACTTTTCCAGCCATTCTTTCCGTATAGGCGCAGCAACCACAGCCGCCCAAAAAGGCCTCTCCCAGCAGCAGATTCAAGAGCTTGGCCGCTGGTCATCGGAGGCCTTTAAGAGTTACATCCGTTCAAACCGCTTCCATATCAAAGAAGCTCAACGAACCCTCATCAGTTAAAATTTCTCCAGTATCAACTTTCTCATACAACCAACCTTACAGGCCCACCACTCCCGCAGGAGCCCCGTCCCCCATCCCAACTCACTCCACGGCCACAGCAGTGCCTTCTCCGCTCCCGCAGGAGCCACCATATCCTGCTCCCGCAGGAGCTCAGCCCTCCTTCCAACTTTCCTTTCGGATAGGCAGAAAGCAATTTCAAAGCAAGTTCGGTTCCAATACAGCAGCAGCATCATCTCTTCCTTTCCAGCAGAAGCTCGTTCTCAATCCAACTGGCCCACCGGTTAGAAAGAACTACAACACAATCTTCTCCGCTCCCGCGGGAGCCCAGTCTTTAATCCAACTTTCCTACTGGACAGTCGAGTCCAGAAAGCAAGTTCGGCCCACCTCAGCAGCAGTATCATCTCTTCCACTCCCGCAGGAGTTCCATTTTCTTCTTCCAACTCGCTCCATTCCCACGGAATCATTATCTCTTCCGCTCCAGCAAGTGCCCAACTCTCCCCTCAACTCACCATGGGATACCTGGAAAGCAAGTCGAAAGCAAGTTTGTCCACTGTCGCAGCAGTGTCTTCTACTCCGCTCCCGCAGGAGCTCCATTACTCCATCCAAACTTGCTCCATTGCCGCAGCAGCGTCATCCACTCCGCTCCCGCAGGAGCTCAAGTCTATGTCCAAAATAGTTTTGGATTCCCAAGCAAGATTGAAAGCAAGTCTGGTCCACTGCCGCAGCAGTGTCATGTACTCCGCTCCCGCAGGAGCTCCATTACTCCGTCCAAACTTGCTCCACTGCCTCAGCAGTGCCATCTACTCCACTCCCGCAGGAGCCCCATTATTTCAAGCAAGTCTGGTCCACTGCCGCAGCAGTGTCATGTACTCCGCTCCCGCAGGAGCTCCATTACTCCGTCCAAACTTGCTCCACTGCCTCAGCAGTGCCATCTACTCCACTCCCGCAGGAGCCCCATTATTTCAAGCAAGTCTGGTCCACTGCCGCAGCAGTGTCATGCACTCCGCTCCCGCAGGAGCTCTGTTACTCCATCCAGCTTGCTCCACTGCCGCAGCAGTACCATCTACTTCGCTCCCGCAGGAGCTCCACCAACCTAAAGCAAGTCTGGTCCACTGCCGCAGCAGTGTCGTACACTCCGCTCCCGCAGGAGCTCCGTTACTCCATCCAACTTGCTTCACTGCCGCAGCAGTGTCATCTACTCCGCTCCCGCAGGAGCTCCATTACTCCGTCCAAACTTGCTCCACTGCCGCAGCAGTGTCATCTACTCAGCTCCCGCAGGAGCCCCATTACTCCGTCCGAACTTGCTCCATCGCCGCAGCAGTGTCATCTCCTCCGCTTCCGCAGTAGACCTTCCCCCAGCCTACTACCTGAGAAGCACACCTATCCAACCTCAAAGACAACCAACTCTCGTCCTATGGTAGAAGAAGCCTCCAGCGACTAACCCCTTCCCACGGCTGATGTTTTAAGCTTTGCACTCCGCAAGTTTTGGGGGGTCATCAACATCATTTTGGCAGCTGTCCGGCATGTTATTTTGCAGCTTTTGGGGGAGTGCTCTGGGTTCGGGCCGAATACCTAACTCGGAGCCCTCTCCTCGGACAGCACGCCAAATACGCATTTATTCTATCTGACTTATTTGTAAGTGTGAACTCGTGAAATGATGTTTTATAAACAAAGTTCGGGAGGAGCACGTTCAAATAATCATTCCAATCAACTGGTCATCAAACAATTACCATGTCTACCCTATCAGCACGAGAAGGAGCATATAAATATTCACTCTGTCAACTCACCTAATATTCCTTGACAGTTTCAGCATCCCTCCACCACCCCGACTCCTCACTCTTGGCTTATCTTATTTATTTATTTCACAGCCAGGAATACGGGGGGAGTGCTCTGGGTTCGGGCCGAATACCTAACTCGGAGCCCTCTCCTCGGACAGCACGCCAAATACGCATTTATTCTATCTGACTTATTTGTAAGTGTGAACTCGTGAACGTTAATTCCAATCAAAATCTCAATGTTAGCGTTGATTCTCTTCAGTTTGACTTCTTTCAGATAAGGCCATTTTTCAAGATCATGGTGAGTGAGTAGGTTTTCTTTCAACACAGGAATCTTTGGTTGGGTATATACTTTTGGAAGGTCTATATATAAATCTCCATCTATACTGCTTACTTCTAGACCTGTGAGCTCATAGCTCTTAACAGGTCTTTCCTGCCCCATCGTACGCAGAAGAATGTCAGTTCTGCGTCTTTTGGCATTCAGCAGATTCATAAGGTTCTCAGTGCAGAACGTCGCCGAACTGCCTGGATCAAGAAAGGCGTAGGTTTTTATGGTTTTATTGCCTTTAGCAACTTTAACTTGGACTGGCACGATTGCTAGTGCGCATTCCTTACTGGCCCCTGTTGCATGATTTCTAATTTTAATGGTTCAGTCGAAAAGAAATTAATGTTTTTGATGAAAACATTAATATATAATGGACTTCAAGGGGACCCAGACGGTTCAAGGTCCAAATGACAGTTTCAGTGCCACTTCAAATTAAATCAGGGGTGTGTGTATGTGTGTGTGTGTGTCTGAGAGTGTGTGTGTGTGTGTGTGTGTGTCTGAGAGTGTGTGAGATTAACTGTCACTGTGTGTTTTGTAG